TTGCAAAATCTCCATTCCCTTCCCACTCCTGGAGAAAAGATATTGCAAAATCTCCATTCCCTTCCCACTCCTTGGGAAAGGATGCTGCAAAATCTCAATTCCCTCCCCACTCCTGGGAAAGGGTGCTGCAAAATCTCCATTCCCTCCATACTCCAGGGGAAGGATGCTGCAATATCTCCATTCCCTCCCCACTCCTGGGGAAAGGGTGCTGCAAAATCTCCATTCCCTCCATACTTCAGGGGGAGGATACTGTAAAATCTCAATTCCCCCCCTACACTCTGGGACCAGCCAGAGTTGGTATTTGCTAGTTCTCCCAACTACTCAAAATTTCAGTTCCTGGTTCTCCAGAACTGGTCAGAACCTGCTGAATTTCACCCCTAACAGGGGTTGGCCAGAGGCTCGGAGATGGGGGCGGGGCAGGGAAAATACTGGGGGATCCCCAGGTCTGACCTGGTCAAGAGGCACATCCATGAGACAGGAGGGAGGTTAACAGCTCTGGGGGAGAAGACAAAAAGAGGATTAAAACTGGTTCCCATCGAGCTGCTGCATGTACCAATTCCCTACCCGACCGACGCCCTCCCAATAAAAGGCCCTCCCTCCTCCCTCCTCTATCCCTCGTGGACCCCTCACCAGGTGTGGGGGTTGCTGGTCCGAGTGTTCGAGCTGGATCTGGATCTCTGGGCAAGGGGGGTCCGTGGGCTTCCTGGGATCCGGCTGTGGGGAGCGCGAGGGGCCTGGAGGGGGAAACAAGACAACCTTGGATTAAAACCATTCCTCCCTCCCTTGGGAGCAAAAGGGCCCCACGTTGGACACCAGGGGGGTGAGGATCCATCCCATTTGTGTATGGGGAGGGGGAGAAGGCCAGCTCCTCCAGAGCAGCCTTGTGGGGCTCAGGGAGGGGCAGGGAGGTACCTGGAGAGCTGCCCCCACTGGGGGTGCTGGTGCTGTCGTCCAGCCACGTGCTGTACATGAAGGAATCGCGCTTGTTGGAATGCGTTGAGGGGAATGGGCTCTCCTGGGGCAGAGAAGGCAGAGGGGGAGGGTGGATTAGGGGACACCCAGGCCAAACTGAACGAGAATCCAATGTTCCTCCGCCAAGTTCCTAGTCCACACCGTTTAGGGCAGGGCCAGCCTCGGATCGGGGAATTCTTTAAGGGGGTTGTTGAAACTGAGAACCAGTCAAGCCAGGAGAAGTTGAAAAGAGGGGTGGAATCCTTGAACCATTTCCGTTTAATGGCCACAGAGATGGCCTCCCTGCCCACTGCTTAAGATACTCCGGGAGGCTTTCATTCAGCTGAACAACAAGCCACGATTTCCTGGGGCAAACTGTGGCTTGTTACTGTTTTTAATTTGTCTACTTTCAAAGAGGATGGAAGCCAAGAAGAGAATCTCTACAAGCCACTTTTCAGCCTCCTTCTGAATCCCCTTCTGGCTCTTTCTCCAGAGCCAAGGTAGCGCAGTGGTTAGGGTGCAGTACTGCAGGCCACTTCAGCTGACTGCTAGTTGCAGTTCGGCGGTTCAAATCTCACCGGCTCAAGGTTGACTCAGC